GAAGTGGGTTGCCCCACCCTGGCAATTACCTAAGGCTCTGCCCCACACAATTTACAAGTGCCTTTTCGACAATAGGCCATACTACTAAAACAGGGAGTCAAAGCAGCTCTACCTCATACACAGAAACAAAGAGAGGGAGGCTGTCAGATTGAGGTGACAAAGAAATATGGCTCAAATGAAAGAACAGAACAAAACCCCAGGAAAAGAACTAAACAAAATGAAGACAGCTAACCTATCAGATGCTGAGTGCAAAACATTGGTGATCAGGAGCTCAAAGAATTCTTTGAGTATGGCAACAAAATAAAGGAATAAATGAAGGATACACTAAGTGAAGTAACGAAAAATCCAGAGGAGACCAACAGTGAAGAGAAGGAAGCCAGGATTCAAATCAATGATTTGGAACATAAGGAAGAAATAAACATTCAACCAGAACAGAAAGAAGAAACAAGAATTAAAAAAATGAGGATAGTCTAAGAAGGCTCTGGGACATCTCCAAACATGACAACATCCGAATCATAGGGATACCAGAAGGAAAAGAAGAGAGCAAGAAATTGAAAACTTATTGAAAAAATAATGAAAGAAAACTTCCTTAATTTGGTGAAGGAAATAGACATGCAAGTCTAAAAAGCACAGAGACTCTCCAACAAGTTGGACCCAAAGAGGACATACCAAGACACATCATAATTAAAATGCCAAAGGTTAAAGATAGAGAATCAAAAGCAGCAAGAGAAAAGCAGAGAGTTATGTACAAAGGAGTTCCCATAAGACTGTCAGCTGATTTCTGAAAAGAAACTTTGCAGGCAAGAAGGAGCAAGAATTATTCAAAATGACGAAAAGCAAGGACCTACAACCTAGATTACCGCATCCAGCAAAGCTGTCATTTAGAATTGAAGGGCAGATAAAGTGCTTCCCAGACAAGGTAAGGCTAAAGGAATTCAAGATCACCAAGCAAGTATTACATGAAAGGTTAGAGGAGCCTATTTAAGAAAAAGAAGAAGATCAAAACTATGAACATTAAAAAGGCAACAAATTCACAACTATTGACGACTGAATTGAAACAAACAAAAAAACAAACTAAGCTAACAACTAGAACAGGAATGGAATCATAAATATGGAGATCATTTGGAGGGTTATCAGCTAATGGGGGGAAGGGGAAGAATGGGGAAAAAGTACAGGGATTAAAAAGCATAATTGGTAGGTACAAAATAGACAGGAGGATGTTAAGAATAGTATAGGAAATGGAGAAGCCAAAGAGTTTATATGTATGACCCATGGACGTGAACTAAGGGGGAGATTGCTGGAGGGAAGGGGGGTACCTGTCGGAGGGGGCAAAGGAGGAAAAATTAGGACAACTGTAATAATATAATCCATAAAATATATACTTAAAAAAAACTTCAGGGGTGGATATCTGACCTGAGTTATCTGGGCTTACTGTTTCAAGTTCTTATTTTACCTCTGTAGACATAGCCCTAGAGTTCAGTAAAATGTGAAAAAGTTAACTAGGTACTCTATTTTATGAGATTCTATTAAATTTTTCACTGATTTATTACATGCTTATTATGGAAGCTTCCAACAGCTCAGAATGGTATAAAGAAAAATTACTTTCCCTCCACTGCTGCTTGCTTTCTCCTGCTCCTGCCCAACATGCGCGCGCACGCGCGCACACACACACACACGCATGCACATTCATATGCACACATGCACAAATGACTCCCAATTTCCAGTCCCCAGAAGTAATCTTTACAGACAGTTTCTTGTAAAATCAAATACTTCAAAAATGGAACACCCTGCAAGACAATTTATAGATTTAAAAAATATGTTAAGTTAGAGAAAAATCTAGAATTATCCCATGCCATTCAGGGTTGGTGAAATCTCAAATTCCCTTGGAACACTGAAATGACCAATTGCTGGGTGAGGGAACTGAAACAATAACCCTGTAAACAAACTGTCCAAAGCGTACGGCTAGAGCCGGCCTACAGCAAAGATGGAATAAAGATTTCAAGGAACACCACCTCCTCCTCATGGTTAACAACTTGATGACGTTCTTCAACATGTTTTAATGATTATCATACCTTCCTCTTCACAAAGGATTGATTTATTATGGTTTAAATTTAAAGAATACTGGTTTCCCAGTTTTGAATCAGGCTTAGATTACAGAACACATAAAATCAATGACTTTGTTCTAGGCAAGAAAAAACAGTGTTCATTTAAGTGCAAAAGAAACAGTCCTGGGGAAAAATTCTTCACACAGTTCTCCATGCTAACTATTCCCACCACTAGTTTGCAACCTCTACTCCTTCCCTCACCCCTGTCATCTGCACCACCACAATGAACATACCTATGGCACCTTAAAATCACAAACAACTTTACATACTATTTATTTCAATTTCCAAACAATTTTGCCAGGTAGAAAGAACTGTAGCTCCTTAATTTGCAGATAAACAAACAAACAAACAAACAAACAAACAAATGAAACCCTGAAGCTCAGATCAGGGAAGTGATTGGCCCAAGGCCATTCATCCTATAAAGGTATGTTCACCCAGGTTACTGCTGACTCCTAAGTGTCTATACCTCCAACTCAGATCTCTCCTCCCAAGCTCCAGGACCCACCATCAATACTCAACATCTGTACTTTGGAGTTCGTTCCAAATGTGGTTAAACTCAGTTTCCAGGCTAAGCTCATAATATTCTCCCATAAACTTTTTTCTTATTCAAGAGTTTTCTTTTGCAGTGACTGACACCATTATCCTTTCAGTTGTTCAAGCCAAAAACCTAGGCATCCTCCCTAACCACCGCCCCTGTTCTCAATATACATATCGACTTCATCACCACATCCCATAGATTTTGCCTTTTGAAGATTTCACAAACCTATTCATTTCTTACTGTCTCCATCATGAACACTGTGGTCCAGTACCCCGGCATCTCACACTGAAATCATTTCCACGTTACACCCTGCCTTTTCCTCACCACTGTGCCTCCCACCCATTTTCCAGGCTGCAGTGAGAGTGATCAGGTAATTCCCTCTGCTTAAACTCCTTTGTTGGCTTTCCAGTGCTCTTCAGATAAAGATAAGACTCCTCACTGGTGCCTCTACAGGCCAGTAGGATCTCTTCCCTGTGAACTGGAAAGGTAAACAAGCTTGTTCCACAGTTGCAGAATACTATGATGTCATTTAAAAAATGAATATTTAAGCTTCTGTTTTTTAAAAAATAATGCACAACATTTAATAAGTTAAGTTCATTGATTAATTGTAGAATGAAGTTTGCACTTGTGGCTATCTTTGAGGAACATATGACCATATGTAAATTTTATTGATCTTTCTGAATTTCCTTCTCAAATATAACCAAATTCATTATATTATAACATATGCATTAATATACATGCACAAATACAGGGTCTAGCAGGAGTAACACCTGCTTGAGTGTGGTTGGTAGGGTAATAATATGGGTTAACAATTTATAGTTTTAATTTGAACATTTCACCTAAAATGTCATATGGTGTGCTTGAGTGTGATATTGTTATGTTACTGAATTAAATGCCTATGAGTTTGTAATAAAAGGTTTTGTACTAAAGAAGGGGGATTATTTATGCCAGACCCTGTATATGTAATGAAATGCACAGGATGGGGCAAAAGTGGGTTTACAGTTGTGAGTATACGAAATAGTTTATTCTTGTATGATTATTTGTTAATTATTGCATTATTTTCCATACGAACAACTGTAAACCCACTTCTGCTCCACACTGTATAAAACTTATATAATATATGTAAATAATTTATATAATTTATTTCATTGTGTGTAATCCCTATCTGTCTCAAGCCTTTGAAAAACTGGAGAAAGGGGCCCAGATGCTTCACCCATGTTATATGGATTATTCATCTAAGGGTCTGAAAAACAGGGTCGGCTTCACAGGCACGTGGCCTGCACAGTCATCAGGGCCTGCACTGAGAAGAGCCCAGTGCTTCGTTTATTGTTCTACCCTTGCTGTCTTAAAATTCTTAAGTTTTGAATGAGGGGCCTGGCATTTTTGCATTGCCCTGGGCCTCACATTTTAGCTAGCCCATGCCAGCTAAAAATGATCTTTATATATTAAGAGTTGAAGTCTTGCAAGTCATCCAGGACCCAGGTGTTTATTGCACTTTATTTCTGTATTTCATGAACTTGATAGAAGAGCTCTGAGAACCACCAGAGTCAGAATTATTTTGTATTAAGCAAAACAAAGACCTGAAACCCTGCTGGAAACTGCCGGCACGTGAAAAATGTTTCCCTAACTGCTGCTTCCAGGATTGCAATTTTCATCGTGAGCAAGCGATATGATGGCGCAGAAGACTCTGGGCGAAAGCTCCCAGATGCTCATTTTAAAGCACATCGTGTGCTGCTTTTTTCTTCTAGAGGTTGAAAAGCTACAGGCATCTGTAAGTTACCATTTTAAAAACAATGATTATTAGTATTTTGCTTCAAAAGCAAAGGATCCTAGGAGAACTTGTTTACCACTTGCCTTCATTAATTTAGGCCAATTTAAAAATGAATACCTAGGTAAGATTTAAATTTTAGGCTGACAATTTTTCCCATGAGCTCAAAATTTATTTAGGATATAAAAAGGTAAACTTTCTGAGAAAGTTATGCTTTTCCGATAAAAATTAAGTAATAATGTAGTTTCTAGACATTCCCATTAGCGATAAATGGGAAGGGTACATTTAGGTATGATGGTACATTCAGGTATAATGTAATTGGTATCAGACTCGGGTTCAAGTCTCTGCTTTGCTATCTACTGTGTGACCCTGGGAAAGTTATTTGACCTTTCTAAGCTTCACTTTCCAAGTTCAAAACAGGGATAACAGAACTGAATAAATAAGATTGATGGGAGGATCAAATTATAGAACCGATATAAGTGTTAAGCACAGTGACCGGGACATGACAAACACTCTACCGACGTGGCTGTCATCATTGACAGGATTTTTCCTCTAGGAGATTATAGATTTTAATCTATAAAATAGTTACCTTATTGATAGGGACAACGTTTTTAACGTTGAAGTAGAAGCCAAAATAAACCATGTTGAAAACTCCATGACGTCCCAAAGTTGCTGTAAATCCTTTGTTGAGGCCCCGAAGTCCCAAGCCTTCCTTCTTAATGATGTGTCTTGCATAACTCATAGTGGATGGTTGCTGCAAGGAGAGAGGGACAAAGCCAGGAAGATCATCTTTGGCAATGTGAGACACAGTAAATTACTATTGGGCTACCCTTCCAGCCAGAATTATTAGGGACTTTTTTTCCCAAACATGAACAATCAGGCCTAAATCCATGCTTTTAAAATTAGGAAACCCAAAAAGTAAACAAAATTGCATGTATAACAACAGCCTTAAATGGAAGATTCTTGGCAAAGAAAACCATCTTTGGTGGAATTAGTGAAACTAATGTCATGTAATAACTATCACCACTTTCAACATGTTAATAGTTCTATCCAATTCTGGATTATCCACACTAATGGAGGGGATTAACCATATGGATACACTAGTAATCCATAACTGTGTATAATCCAAAAGGAATTTATATCTGTTTCCTGAATTCAGCGTGTCTACCTTTCTAATTATGTTTTCTAAAGTGAATGTTACATTGCCTCAACAGTTTAAACTGGTGCTAGGTTAGAAATTGGGCATGTCTCTCTAAAAATAAACAAATAAAATCTTTAAAAAAAAGACAAAAAACAAGCGCTGGCTGGTTTAGCTCTGTGGACTGAGTGCCAGCCTGCAAATTGAAAGGTCACTAGTTCGATTCCTGGTCAGGGCATGTGCCTGGATTGTGGGCCAGGTCCTGCGCTGGGGGCATGTGAGAGGCAACCGATTGATGTCTCTCTCCCTCTCTTTCTCCATTCCTTTCCCTTTCTCTAAAAATAAATAAATAAGATCTTTACAAAAAAGAATTTGGGCATGGATAAATAGCAGTTGATTGTAGACTTCCTCAGAAAGGCGGGCAATCTGTATGTGTATTACTTTCTGTGATAAATGATAAATTGATGGTGTTGGGAGTACTGGGTTACCTTTAATTTACTCCTTTCCAGTCCTCTGATTGATTACCCAAGGCTGAAATACCTTGACTGCTGGATCCAGCCTATTGCTACTTCTGGAACATGCTAAAGAGCTCACCATAGTTTGCCCTGAGGTTTCTAGTTCATTACAATACAATTATGACAGCTTATGTGGGTTTTTAGAAAAGGTTGTTTCCTTTCTTGGAGGTACAGTACAAAGGATACCTCTTCTCGTTAACTTTTCAGTAGTAAAGAGAGAAATATTCAGTATTTATTTATTTATTTTGCCCATAAGGCAAGCGGTTGGCATGACATTCGTCTGCTATTTTGCTGGAATGGGTTGCTGGAGCAGTCATGGAAGTCTGATGTGCTTTCTGACTAAAGTGTTTTCTTATCATGTGCAATTAAATCTGCATCAGCAGAATAGAACAAATCCAATCAAGGCTTTTCATCTAACTTGTATTTATAGCTATGTCATTAACACGATACATTAAATGAGCTTGTTTATACAGTAAATTCTATAGTTTTTGCTCATAAATGTTTTTAAAACTCTAGCTACAATTCTACACTCAACTTCATCTTTTCATTTTAGAGGATTAATTATAATAAACTATATTAAGCTTAAGGAAATCTTTTTTCTGTAACATGGAAAAAAAATCACATGAGAACATATCTTAAACAATAAAAGACATTTCATATAGGAAAACCAAAAACTCTCAGAAGCTTACATTTCACTCTCTTTTACAAAATGGAACTTTTTTGTTTGTGTTCTGGCACATTGACTATCAACCGAAATTGTTTATTTTCGTTTTCAAAATAGACGCGAGGACAAGTTGAACAGGAGTTCATTTCTGCTGGAGAGACTCTGGAAGTTCTGAGCAAACTGCTAGGCACTGCTGTCTTGCTCTGAGGAAGGCAGCCTTGAGGGCAGAGGAAAGGAGATGGGGCAGCTTCCCTGGGTGTGGAAGGAACAGTGCAGGAGGGAGGGAGTTCTCCTGGGTCTAGACTGATGGATAGCGGTGCTCCCTGCATCAAGCCCAAGCTTCTGCCCTGTCCTCACCCAGTCTGAGGCCTCAAGGTTTGAGAAGACGAGAACTCAGAGGCCATCTAGGTTCTAGAGCAACAGAGAAACCAACAACTTTGAGTGAAAGTGCAGGTGAACATAGCTTTCTTTAAATAAAACAGATCTAAAGGTGTTTCTAAAGGTGTTTAAAAATCCTAGGGTTCTAAATTATCGGAATTAAAAGAGAAGACTCCTACTAGATCTTGGTGAAGATGAAAAAATATTCAAATGACATTTACGGATGGTCTACTGTATGATTCTCACTGGCTTGGGTGTTAGGTGGGTACAAAGAAGTATAGCACATGGATTTTGAATTCAAGTGCCTTGCTGAGTTTGAACTCGAGTTATGAATCAGCAAATAAGTCAAAGGGTAGTATAGTAGTTAGAAATAGGGGGTTGGAGCTAGACTGCCCCAGGTCTGGGTCTTAGCATTGCCACTTGCTAGCCCACGCAATTATTTTTACCCTCTGATTTATCCTCACTTTACTCATCTGTGAAATAAGGATAATATATAATCTTCTTCATAGGATTGTTGTGATAAGTAAGTCAATGAACTTTGTCCTATGTAAGAATTCACTGTGTGCTAGCTGTTAATAACGAGAGCAATTATGCTGAAGAAAAGTAGTTATAATAATAAAATAAGAGGTAATTATTTTGTTAGTTGAAGGCAATGACAATTTAAAAAGTGAAGGCTGATTCGAGGTAGAGGAAGGACATGAATAACTAGCCTCTTTCTTTGCATTCCTTCTGACTACCCCAGAGCCCTGGACGCTTGTGACAAAGTCCAAAAGAAATGTACCCAGAATGCAGATTATAGGTCTGCTTCCTCTGAGGCTCAACTAAATCCAACCCCTAGGCTAGAGATCTCCTTCCACAGTTAGTTCCCTACCACAGAAGCTTGCCTCTTTAGAGCAGTAGGTCTTGCAAACTGGCCTCTTCCCTATCCCTCATAGGGAATCATAGGTAAGAATCATAGGTAAGAACTCTTGCTTGTTAAGTTTATGGACTGTAGAAGCAAGGCCACCCAGGAGAAAAAGTTGGGAATGGAAAAACATGCTAACTGGCCTCCACCCCACACAGTTTACAGCCTAGAGAGCACATTCAGGTATGTTACCAGGTGCCTGGAACACAGTAAGTGCTCTTCAGTATTAGTCATTATCATAAATTCTTAGTACTTTACATCTATCATCTTATTTAATCCTCTCAATGAGTGTGTGAGGTAGGTATTATCATTATCCCCATATGACAGATGAGGAGACTAAGGTTCAGTAACTGGGCAAAGATGGCAGAGTGAGCGGTAGTGTCAAGTGCAAACTGAGCCCTCGCCTTATTCCCCACAACTCCAAGTTTATACTTTTATACTCTGCTTGGTTCTGCCATCTTAGCACATATGAATGCTTCTCTCAAAAACCCTGTAAGGTGGGTAGCAGGTATACTCTCCTCATTTTGCAGGTAAGGAAACCATGGATTGTTAAGTAATATTTTTAAAGTGAAAACACTGGTAAATGGCTTAATCAGAGTTCTCCTTCTAATCCAGTGCTGTTCACATTTTGTGGATGCATTCTTGTTATATATATGCAGTAAGATTTTCAGAGTTTGATAATCCATCTCATGCAGGTAACAAATATGTAATGATACACATTTATTTCTTTCTGGCAATTTGGGGTCTTGAGATTAAGGAAAACCTGAACTCTAATTCCCATACCAATTAGAATTGTGCTTCTTGCTTCATTCAGTGATATTGTATCACACACATGTAAGCAAATATTTCATTAGAAAGGCAAAACATGATTTCCACTAGGATGCTTAGATAGGAAAATATAGAATCACTTTGACTAGGTCTCTGTAAACACAAGGAATTTTACTAAACTTATTTGATTACTGGGCTTCCATTTCAAAACCAAATAGAGACTGATTAGCATCATCAGCCAAATGATTCCCATACTATCCAACCCAGCAGGTCACCCACAGTTCGGTTTCCTTCCAATATTTAGATTCACTTCAATTTTCATATTTAGTTACCAATTGTGGGCCAAATGACATTCTAACTTTCTTAGATGTACCTTTTATTGACCGTACCAGAGTTGCAAGAGTGGAGGAGTAGTGGATCGGGATGTACCTAATATTGTGATACACACTGCTTTCCATATTGATTTATAGAAATCGCAGTTCACTGGTCCTGAAGGAACTCAAAATCTTCTTAAATTTGACTTCCACTATTGCCGACTGCCAATTCTGGGTACTCCCTGTTCTTTAATGCATCATTTATTCAACAATATCCATTGAGTGCCTCGTAGGTGTCATGCATTGTGCTAAGTGTCTAGTACAGTACTTTGCCCATATTTAGGAAACTTAAATATTTTTGTTTTGATTTTTATTTGGAGAGATATGCTGATAAATTTTATATGTACCCATCAGAATATTCCATAATTATGAAATATGGAATCAAATTTGTTTTAAAAATCCTGAAGCAACTTAATGTAAAGAGAATATCCTTAACCTATACAATGCTTCAAGGCACCACTCCGGGGCACTGATTCCTTACTCTCTGAGAGCCCAGTATTACCAACAAATCACTGAGATGACTTATGGCAGCCTGAGCTATTTTTTCTGGAGTTCTTCCATCCAACTACTGACCATAGCTGGCTCCGATTAGCTTGTGAGATCACAGACGGGTTTTTGGTGGCACGCACTCTTCCCTGGGTAAACAGCTATCAGAGAATGGCCAGTAGGTGCAGGTGAGGGGTGTGTGTCAGTGGATTTCTCAGTCCCTAAAGCCAGGGGAGCGCTCTTGGCACACCATGTCAAAACACAGCACGCTCCACATTTGTTCTTGTACTTGCTTCTTATGGCAAGGCGAATTTTGTTGCATTTTAGAGTCAATTGAATAAGGGTGTTGCACTGGATTTCATCAAGTGGCTGAGAAGCAAACCGGATGAGACCTTTATACAATGGAGTAAGTGTCCAAACTCGGGCTCCCAGAAAAACACTGCTTTGTTAAAAAAGAGAAGACCCAATTGCTATGCTTTGGTAGGAAAACACCCTTGCTCTTCAGGAGATAGATGATCACTTATCTT